AGGCCCCCTCTTTCACATTTTCAAAGTGAATTTGGAACAATTGAAAATGGCCCTATGTTCCTTACATTTATAGCTTTTCTTTCTCCTGTGATTTCTCTCAATCATATAATTAATATGAATTTGAACATACACACTGTAACCATCGCCAAAGTCTAGGTAATACACATATAACTTCCAAAAGTCTCTCTCTCTCTCTCCTGTCTCTGTCTCTCTCATACCTCATATGATTTATATGATTATCTCATACAAATAGTAGAATCATACAATATTTGTCTTTATGTGTCTGGGTTATTTCACTTAGCTATGTTTTCAAGGTGCACTTTCTTTGAACTATTAATTTTGACATAATTTAAAACCTACAGAAAATTTACAAGAAAAATCTATAGAATTTTCATATATCCTTCACCAGATTTCCCAAATGTAAATTTTTACACTAGTTTTTAACTTTCTCTCTTTTTCTATATATATGTTTATGTGTGTGTGTGTGTGTGTGTATGTTTATTTTTTGCTGAATTATTTGAGGGTCAGCTGTAGATATGACATCTATGTACCCCTAAATATTTCAGTGTGATTTTCTTTTTCTTTTCCCCCCTCTGCATTAATGACTTTAATAAAGAAAAATATGCTTCCGGTCTGTATAACTGGCTGGTCTAGAGACATTTAAACAAAGCAATTGATATTTAGCCAAGGGTAAGAGTTGCAATGGTAGAGAGAACCTTATCTTCAGTACAGCTCAACGACTCGTTTTTAGACAGATAAGCCTTGTTCTTGTTTCCTTTTAGGAGGGATCTATTCACTGAGATGAGAGGCCAAACTCCATTTTTCAAGAGGTGGTTTCCCTTTGAGCTTCATTTCCTTCTTGTTGTCATCATGCGTCAATCGCATGCCTGGAGAGACTTTGCTTTGCAGGTCTACACCACTCCCAGCCTCAGTGTGATTTTCTAAACACAAGCACATTTTCTTACAAACCCACAACAGATTGGGGGTTACCATCAATACAATATTGTTATCTAATCTACAGGTCTTGTTCAGATTTTGCCAAGTGTCACAATGAAAAGATCATGTACTGCATTCAGTTGTCTTTTCTCTTTAATTTCTTTTCCTCTTGAGCAGTTCCTCTGCCTTCCTTATTATTATGTGACTTGATGATTTTGAAGAATACAGGCCAATTGTTTGAACTGGGAGCATTTAAAAAAATTACACCTGGGGATTCACTCCATGATATTCTTTTTCATTGGTTAGAGGTGAAACCTGCACACTGATGCGTTAAAAACTACAGCAAATATTACAAAAACTTTCCAGTTGATTATAATGAGCAGCCAGGGTTGAGAAACTCCTGGCTTTTGGACTTTCTTTTTTTTCTTTCTTTTTGGGAAGTCTGCTGTCACCTTTATTACTTGGGGGTGACTTAGGAGCTCCTGGTGGGGGGTCCTCTTCCTCTACCAACATCCTGGCTGTGCAGGATGGCTCTGGGTCTGTGGATGGTGGCCTCCTGCCAGCTGGGCGGTACTTGTTCTTGCAGATTGTGTACTGCTGAGGGGGCCCAAGACGTACTTGTCGCTTAGCAGGAGGCCAGCTTCGGTTGGCAGAATCTCCTTTTCGTGAACACCACCACACCTTTGCGGTTGGCTGGCAGCTCTACGCCCACATTTTTGCTGTGAATCAGCTCACTGTAGCTTAAAGAGTTGCCGTGGGCCTTAGATTATTGGCTTCTGGTTTGCTTGTTTCTCTTGACCAGGAAGCTGGAGCAGTTCTGAACCATCAAGGATGGGTGGAGAGGGAAGGGAGAGGGAAAGAGGCCTGGTTTGGGACTTTAGAATAGGAGTGCAGTCCTTGCTGAGTGAGGCTAAATAGACAAAACTTGAAGGAGGGTTGGTTAGGACAAAGGGCCTGACTCAGATATGAATTCAGATAGTCAGTTTTGCTTTTTATTGTCTGTGATTTGGGGCCATCTACTTCATCAACTGTGAAAGCTGGTAATAAAGCTCATAGGATTCTTGTGAAAAGTAAACTAACCAGGGTTTCCCTGGTGGCGCAAGGGGGTAAGATGCAACCAATGAAGGTATCTGCAGCCACTGCAGCCATAGTTAGATCCCTGGCCAGCCAGGTAGCTACCCACATGGCATAGCAGGCCTCTCCTGACTTGCCCTCTGCTCCCCTCAGCAGTGTATTTCAGTCAATCCGCTTGTTCTGTTCTCCACTCTGTCTCTGGTGAATCTTCTCACCCCCCACACCTCTGCCTATACCCCATTCTATGCATAAATAAATCAATCTTTTAAAAAAAGTAAACTAACCAATATATTGAAAAATACCTAGCCCTGTGCCTGGCTGTCATAGCATTAGTGTGGCAATGTGAGAATTGTCATTCATATTATTAAAGGGCAGGGCAGAAGTGAAGTAAAGTTATTAAGGAAGTACAAATGAGTTATGTAAAGTGACATTGCTCCAGAGAGGCTGAGGACGGTATCTAGTTCATCCTTGCCCTTCTCAGTGCTCAAATATGCACAGAGCTGTTCATGGCAGGTTGGGTAGAGGAAGAGGGCTCTACCTCATGAGTATTTCCTAAAATCAAGGGTTATGTCCATTGCTGGTGGCTTCCCTGCCACAGGAAGCTGTCATGGCCCCCAGACACATTTACATATGAATCCCCACAACCTGTAGATGTTATTTAATTTATTATTTTTTAAAGATTTATTTATTTATGCATACAAGAGCTGGGGTGCAGGCCAGAGTTGTGGGGGGTGAGAGGATTCACCAGAGACAGAGTGGGGAGCAGAACAGGCAGATCTACTGAAATACACTGCTGAGGGGAGTAATGGGTGAGCCAGGAGAGGTCTGCTGCCCCATGTGAGTTAGCTCCCTGGCTGGGATCAAACTCATGCTGCAGTGGCTGAGGAGTGATTCATAGTCCTCAGACTCACCCCCTTGTGCCACCAGGGAGGCCCTGTAGATGTTATTTTATACTGGACTTTGCAATGGAATTGAATTAAGATTCTTGGGATGGAGAGATTATTCTAGATTATCCAAGTGGACCCATGTTGTTACAAGGGAGAGACACAGGGAGATTTGATACAAGAGAATACTTCAAAACAGTTGCCTTTGAAGATGGGAAAAGAAGCCTTGAGCAGCAAGGAATATGGTTACAGATACTGGAAGAGGCAAGAAGATTCTCTGGAGGAAGCACAGCTCTGCTGACATCTTGATTTCAGCCCAGTGAAACAGATTCAGTCTTCTTAGTATCTTTGTGTATGTGTGCATACATGCACATGTTGGGGGGTGTTACATGTGCATACAGTAACATGTAAAGCCTGGAAGGAAGCTGTTAGTAGCTCTTATCACTGGATGCTGGAAGACTTCAAAATACTTTCCAATAGTAGTCATGTTCTATACACATAGGAATGCTCAGCTACAGTGAGAAGCCTAACATAGAAAAAGCAGAGATAAACTGCAAAATTAGAATCAGGGAATTCTGATATCTATTAGGTTCCTGGATGAGTCATGCATAAGTCTTGGTCTCTATTGTCCTTTCCACAATTTTGTTGAATATATAAATTTGTTACTCACTTTTTGTTTTCCTGTATGTAAAGTTGAATTTATATAGAGTAATGAAGAGTTAAACTGGGTTTCTGTCACATCAAATTTGTGTCCTATCTATCGATCCATCCATTGATCCATCCATCCATCCATCCATCCATCCATCCATCCATCCATCCATCCACCAACTATCAGTCTATCTTTTTTTTTTAAAGATTTTATTTTTATTTATTTATTTATACAAGCACTGGGTACAGTCAGAAGCGCGGGAGGGTGAGAGAATTCACCAGAGCCAGAGCGGGGAGCAGAGCAGGCAGAAGGACCGAAGTACACTGCTGAGGGGAGCAGCGGGCGGCAGGAGAGGTCTGCGCGCCATGTGGGACCCTCCTCTGGTGGCCGGGGAGCAGCCGGGGATCGAACCGGTGCTGCAGAGGCTGCGGGCAGGTTCGTAACCCAGCGCTCAACCGCTGTGCCACCGGGGAGGCCCAGTCTATCTATCTTAAAGAAAACTTTATCAGAGAGGCTCTGGAGCTTTAGTTCAAACCTCTGAACCTGGCTTAGAGCTAGAGGGAAAGCTGAGGCTGAGCTCCTAGTGCTGTGAGAGAATTCACAGTGATGTCCATTCCAACTCTTAACTTCTAGGTTTTTTTCCCTGGGCGTGAGGCCACAGGAAGCACACTGCACCCCTCTTCCTCCTGTCTGCCTCAGAGCTCCCTGAGGCTGGGGATGGTGGTGGTCTGTATATTGTTTCAAACCACCAAGTTTGTGTAATTTTTTACAGCAGGCATAGCAAACCAATACACCTGCCTTTCCCCACCCCCAACCTTCTACCTTCTTGGAGTAACTGGATGTTCAATATGTTGCTCATGCCTTTGTCAATCACAATGTGGGCAGTGTTTGAGACCTGGTTTAGCAGCATCTCTCTTAGGATTATATGCAAAACAGTACACAATTAAAGAAATGGAAAGAGTAAACCAGATCAGTTGGATTATATGATGCAAATAATCCAGATGGATGTTTTCATCATGTGCAATGATTTATTTTTTTATTTTTATTTTTTTAACAGCAATGAGAGAAAAAATTTATTGGGACTTTAATGGATTTATAGGATTTCAAAGTTATACAACAAGGACTGGGTGTCATGAAAAGAAAGCACTGTTTGACTGCTGAAGAACCATTTCAAAGACAGCATTTGATTTGATGAGTTCACAATGATCCAGGCCATGGCTTTCAATATTAGAGGTCTACAGCCTGATCTTGGTCATATTCCAGAATTCATCCAAATTTAAGAGTTGAACTTATGCTGATTATATCATAAGACTTAAAAATCACAACTTCCAGGTGCCAGGCATCAGAAGCAGCAGGGTGGAATTGTCAGCAGTTTTCATTGTCTTCTCTGGATGAACTATTTTATGAATGCACCAAGGAAATGGAGTCATACTGTTATCTTTCAAAAGCTGATTTGGGTTGGGAGAAGTATATTCTACCACTTCTCCGGAGGAGGAAGATGCAATTTCAGGCTGGGTGATGCAGGAGGAAGTGCTAAGGGGAGAGTGTTACTACCTCTGTTGGGGGTTCCTTCAGGATAATCCCACCGTGGAGCTAAGAGGCAGCACTTTTTGGGAGGCTTAACTTCTTGAGTGTTTCCAAGTGGGAGCATGGATCTCCCAGAGGGACAAGGTTGGTCCCCCATAAGGATTATAGGAACCGGGCATCTGCTCTCTCTGGTGAGCCTTGGCGAGGCCAAGAGACCTGAGATGGCAGCTCAAGTGCAATGATTTATTTTTAAACCGAGCAACTAATTTAATATTAACTTGAACTATAGTTCATAATACTGTGTTATGCACTCGAATGATGATAAGAAAGTAGATCTTAAATGTTTTCACTACACAAAAAGTTAATTATGTGAGGTGATGGAGGACAGCTATTAAATCAATATATGCACCTCAAACTCAATGTTTAAACACAGTGTTATCACAATTATATTTTAATAAAACTGGAAAAAACACAGAATTAATATATTTTATAAAAATCAGTACTTTTTTAAAAAAAGATTTATTTATTCATACACACAAGAACTGGGGTACAGGCCAGAGTTGTGGGGGGTGAGAGGATTCACCAGAGACAGAGTGGGGAACAGAACTGGCAGATCAACTGAAATACACTGCTGAGGGGAGCAGCAGACGAGACAGGAGAGGTCTGCTGAGCCATGTGGGTAGCTCCCTGGCCAGTGGCTGTGGACAGCTTCATACGTTGCATCTTAACCCTTTGAGCCACCAGGGAGGCCCAGAAATCAGTACTTTTTACCTTCAAAATGATTGTTTTTAAATGTAATTTTTTCTCACCAGATTAATTAAATTTATATTCACTGAAGTTGCTTAATTTTGCTCTGAATTCAGTGATTGCCCCTGCTTCCCTCTTGCATGTTCTGTGGGTAGAATTGGAGGCCAGGGAGTTCCCTGAAGTCTCTGGGCTCTCCACCCCAGCTGTCCAAAGGAAAATTTCCCAGGAAGAGGGTGTGCAAATGCTTCTAAGATGATTAATGTTTCTTGCTTCAGATAGGTGTGACCTGATGGGTGGTGCCAGTTTCTTAGATCAACCTACTCCTGAATTTAGCAGGTAAAAACATGTCCCTGCCTGAGTCAGGAACACAGGAGTACCATCCAAAGATCCCTGTTCCTTTCTACATCTCCACATCATGAAACTGGGGCCAACTCATGGGTCATCTGAAGACAGTGAGCTTAGAGCAGGGGTGAGACTTAACCAAGGTCACATGTCATGACTGGCAGAGAATCCCAGGGCTCTGTTCTGCACCTAAGATGGCCCTCATCTGGCAAATACTTATTAAACTCTGTTGTGTGCAAGGTGATGTGGACCTCCAACTTGCCTCTGTGCTCTTGTGCTGTACTTTAAAAATTTTTTTTATTTTGGGGGGCACATTTTTATTGTTCTATCTGTGCACATGTTCCACTCACCCTCCATCAAATCACCTGTGCCAATACCCCATATGCTTCCCTCCCATTTCCCCTCTTCTCTCCCCTTTGTTTCCACTGTAACTATTATATTCTTTCACTCAGTTTGAGGTTTATTTCTACTATATTTTGCCTGTGTATACATTTTTGTATTTATATTCCACATATGAGTGAAACCAACTGATATATCTGTCTTTCACTTTATGAATTATTTCACTTAACATAATTACCTTGAGGTCCATCCACTTTGTCCCAAATGCCACTATTTAATCTTTTTCACAGCTGTGTAATATTCCATTGGATATATACTTCACAATTTCTTATTCTATTTGTCTGTTGAAGGGCACTTAGGTTGGTTCTATGACATGGCAATTATGGACAGTGCTGCTATAAACATAGGTATAAATAAATCTTTTCATATTAGAGTTTCATATTATTTGGCTTAATATTTAATAGAGGTATTGCCTCCTTGTGCTGTACTTTCTAGCCATTTTCCCAAGTTTTTTCCTTTCCCTGCATCATTATCACTGGTTTTTCCAGATAATGTTCATATCACTCTTTTAGGGAGCTTTCCCTGAGTCCCTGCCTCCGGGACACTCCTTCCCTCCCCTTCCCCCCCAATTTGGTACTTTTTTTGGAAGCTCTGGAGAACCTTGAGGGGTGTCTTTGTCATTGAAGTTATCACCCTGTGTGATATGGAGGTTAGCTGTTTCCATGTTGTCTGCCTCCCTGTCAATCTCTGAGTCTTCAAAGGTATGGGCTTAGTTTTATTTATCTATGTATCCCCAGCATTCTTCACAGTTGCAGGCCATAGCAGAAACTATGTTTTTTTATTATCAAGTAGTATTGCCTTATTAATTCAACACTGACTATGTGCGATGCATTGGGCTAAGCATATATCATATGTCAATTATCATAATTATTATAATAATATAGTAATATTAATAACAATAATATTAATTATTACAGTAACTTTGGGAATTATTATCACCAAGCTGCAGAGGAAAAAACTGAGGCTCGGAATGGTTAAGTACTTTGTTCTGGGTCACACCACTAGTAAGTAATAGCACTTGGACTCACATTTGGGTCTATTGGACTCAAAACCTTAACAAAATTGTATCACATTTTTATTGAGGTAATTAGTTTACATCACTGCATGTGATTCAGGAGTATAGGTTGATACATCTTCAGATGTGTGTTACCAGACTACCCTCACCTAAGTACCCATGATCTTTCACCATGGTCTGACAGGCCTCATACCTAGTTACTCCTCACTCCAACCTCCCCTTCTGGTAGCCTCAATTTTGCGGTCAGATTTCAAGCATTTGTTTTGGTAAAATTCTGTTAAATTATTAATGAATGAAAGAAAGAATTAGTCAATGAATAAAAGGCAGCAAGCTGGGCCTGTGGGAAACATACAGAAATATTTAAAGGTATTCTTTTGAGGTTTGAATCCTGCAAGTGCTAAGGTAAATCCACCCATCATAAGGTTCAGAGAGAGGGCAATTACTTCTAGTGGGAGTGGAGTATGGGAAGGTTTCATGGGATGAAAACACATGTGAGCCAAGTCTTGGAGGTGAAGGTGAAGGTGACAGGCGGGGCTGAGAGCAAGTCAGTCCTGCAAAGTAGGTGGAGAAATCAGCACTGACCAAACACCACAGCAGAAGGGAAATACTGGGAACAGTAATTAGTTGAAATGGGCTTGAGTTAGGGTCTGTGAGGACAGAAGGGAGAGGGGGATGGAAAGCTGTTAATAAGTTAGCACCAGATGGTGGAAGGCCTTGAATACAGGGGATCTGGGGTTTTCCTTGGGCCATATGGGCAGCTCCTAACAATTTTTACATCAGAGAGTGAGTGACATGGCCCATTGCCCATTATGGATGGGAGGAAGAGGAGACTAGGAGGAGGAAGCCCATGAGATGGTATGGCCTAGGTTGGAAGACTGCCAGGGGATGGGGTAAGGAAAACACTAGAAGGAGTATTTCAAAGGCTGATTCCATGGGGTCCAGAAACTGGCTGGGAGAAGGAGTGGGAGCAAGTGTCATTGAAACAGCATGGGGCAGAAGGCCTGAGTTCTGGTTCCGGCTGAGCTACATGGACTCACTGGGCCTCTCAGTGTCCCATTTGCAAGACTGGAGCAGATTATGCCATCTTGGTTTTTCCAGGATTCACGTTCAAGCTATGTAATGTCCAGGTCTTTGAAAGAAGCTGGATATGGGGCCTCCATGGTGGTGCAGGGGTTAAGTCTCAGCTCTATCAAGCTATCTCCAGCCACTGTGGCCTGACTTCAATTCTGGCCAGAGAGTTGACCCACACGGTGCAGCAGATCTCTCCTGTCTCACCTGCTGCTCCCCCCAGCAGTGTATTTCAGTTGATTGCCTGTTCTTCTCCCCACTCTGTCTCTGGTGAATCCTCTCACCTCAATACCTCTAGCCTACACTCCAGATCTTGTATGCATAAATAAATAAAAATAAAAATCTTAAAAAAAAGGAAGCTGGATATATTGTGACTGATATGGGAGGATGTGGAAATGCACATCAGTTGCCACCCTGGGGGTGCATGGCTGACTTTGGCAACACTTCATTCATCACTGGGCTCCTGGGTGAGGGAGCTTTGCTACCTGTGTGTAATCAGAGAGCTGGATAGCAGTATTAGATCATTGCTCTTTCATAACGTTTACACAGTGAGGTTATGTTGGCATGACTTAGGTTATCACCCAAATTGTGTAGCTTCTGAGAGGGGAGTATGGCTTATTGGCATTTGAAAGTACCAAACACGTTACACGATAAGGCTTAAGTTATGGACTTTGCTAAAGGTCAAAGAGAGAGGCAAGCAGGCGAGTCAAGCTGGGATCCCTGGAATCTCCACTTTGTCCCTCTGCCCCCCAGGTCTTCAGGACTTTGGGCCCCAGTTGGAACCAATTCTAGTACAGCTGGAAAAGTGAGAAGAGGGGGCAGTAGCCTGATGCCTGGATACCTGAAAAAAGGGAGTTCAGTGGCCCAGGAATCCAGTAGATCCTGCTGGAGGTGGGCTGCTGAGAACCCCATGGTTTCACAGAGAAGCTATAGGTCAGACATGCATGGGGAAGGGGTTTGTCAGGGTGACTCAGTGGGTCAGTGATGCAGCAGGAACTGGAAGTCACAGTCTCAGTTCCTTTCCAGGCTTGTTTTTTAATTTTTCTTCCTAGAACACCTTCTCTGGGCATTTCCTCCCTTTACCCCCAGCTTTATTTATAGGTATCATTGACGAAAAAAATGGTATATATTTTAAGTGTACAATGCAGTTATTTGTGGGCACATATTTTAATTAGGAGCAATGCATTCAAATTCTAGTTCCGTCCTTCCTCAGTTACTTAGTCTGTCTCAGTTTCCTGCTTTGGTAGCACCTACACCATAGGGTTGTTGTGAGGATTAAAGGACATGTTTGTAAAGCATTTACTAGTGCTCAATAATTGGTAGCAGGCTACTGCTTAATGATAGCTCTTTAGTTATTATTTTAACAACGGTCCCCCCAGGAACTCTTTGCTGGATCTAACTGAGTGGATATACTGCGATTTTGGATTTTGGTGATAGACTCTGAGGTTTATTCTCCTTGCTATTCCCTTGTCCACTGTATGATACTTTCTTAAACACACGCACACACAGGCATACACACACAATCAGAAATCTCCCCACTCTTTTATGGCCTTAGCAGTCACACCCCTTTTTCCTTTGAGATCTGT